TTAGTGTTAATTGAAATCTTAGTAATACACTATAAACCAGTACAAATTCGGTGACGAGGAACCCACTTTGAGACAAAACACTGCTGGAGACGGCTTAAATGGGTAATGAAGATGATGATGACAAAACCTTGTCGAAACGTTGTACATTTGCTGTTATGTTAAACTTATATTAAAGTTTTTCTTCATTACCCATTCAAGCCGTCTCCAGCCATTATAAGTCTCAAAGTGGGTTCCTCGTCATCGAATTTGAAGTTATAAATATTAGTTGTACCGAACTTCTTGTGGTGTAACAATAACACGGGAGTTTTTAGTACCGTATAATTATACCAAATTTTAGTCGACAATGAAACCATATACTGGCACCCTGTAATTTACGAAAGAATTATTGCATTTTAATTAAAACTTTAAAACTAAACCCACAATTTTACTTAAATGTCATATAATTATAATAACGACCTTCAAAAATCATTACAGCTATTTTATCTTATGCTTTCGAAAAGTTTTGATATAAGTTAGGTCTAAAGTTATTTTGATAAAAATCTTGCTTTTTTTTTCGGTTTCGAGAACCTGTGTTCTGTTGGATGTTTACAGTTATTGGTTTTGTAGAAGATAAATTAATTTTCACTACCGCTCGCCAGTGGCTCAGCTGTAAGCCTAAGAGCTAATATTGATAAAAATCAGGTTTCGATACCCACGTTGAACCCAACACAGATGAACCATTGTGTAGCTTCGTGCTTAACATCAAACAAAAACGCTTCACTACCAGCTCAACACACTACACCAGTCTAACTATAAAATGCCCCTAGAACTTTCTCTGTAAATAGTTCATAGGGCATCTAGACAGTTACTAAACATAAGAGTTTTCTCTGTTGATAGTTAATACGGCATGTAGACAGTTACTAAACATAAGAGTTTTCTCTGTAGATAGTTAATACGGCATGTAGACAGTTACTAAACATAAGAGTTTTCTCTGTTGATAGTTAATACGGCATGTAGACAGTTACTAAACATAAGAGTTTTCTCTGTTGATAGTTAATACGGCATGTAGACAGTTACTAAGCATAAGAGTTTTCTCTGTTGATAGTTAATACGGC